ATTGTTGAACCTCTGTGTCTTCACAGAGTTAGATTTACAGCTGGAAACTGGACACCTTTCATTGTTGTGATCATATGCCTTCTTTGAAAGTTGGATCATCTAACAGAGAAAGGCCTTATCCATATCTTCTGCTTGTCCAAGCAATCTATAATAAACTCACCCCAAAAAATCAATTTTGTTACTCTAGGAGTATCTAGATGGAGACTGATATAAATGAGTTTTATTCTGTTTGTCAATTTGATCAAATCTTTTGGGAAAACTGAATCAATTTGACTCACAGCTTCAGTTTGATAATTCAGTATGACATTCTGCTTTGCTTCAGAAACAACATTTAATTCAGACATTAAATTAAAGCATTTTCAAATTGAATCAGAATTTTTCGTAGCCTTATAAATATTTCCTGGCTCCTAAAAATATTTTCCCCTTTATGGATTACTGCCTTGTCGTGGCGAAGGGGCTTGCGTAACTCAATGAAGCTATAAGCTATGCCGTGCAGGGCCACCCAAGACGGACAGGTCACAGCAGAGAGTTCTGACAAAATGTGATCCCCTGAAGAAGGAAATGGCAACCCACTCCAGTATCTTTGCCATGAAAACCCCATGGACAGTACTAAAAGGCAAAAAGATATGACGCTGGAAGATGAGCCCCTCAGGTCGGAAGGTGTCCAATATGCTACTGGGGAAGAGCAGAGGGCTAGTACTAGTAGCGCCAGAAAGAATGAAGCGACTGGGCCAAAGCCGAAAGGACGCTCAGCTGTGGATATATCTGGTGGTGAAAGGAAAGTCCGATGCTGTAAAGATTTTTTCTCCATAGGAACCTGGAATGTAAGATCCATGAATCAAGGCAAGCTAGATGTAATCAAAAAAGAGATGACAAGACTGAACATCGACATCTTAGGAATCAGCGAACTAAAATGGACAGGAATGGGTGAATTTAACTCAGATGACCATCAGGTATACTACTGTGGGCAAGAATCCCTCAGAAGCAATGGAGTAGCCTTCATAGTCAATAAAAGAATAGGAAAAGCAATACTGGGATATAATCCCCAGAATGACAGAATGATCTCAATTCGAATCCAAGGCAAACCATTCAATATCACAATAGTCCAAATCTATGCCCCAACCACTGGTGCTGAAGAGGATGAAATTGACCGGTTCTATGAAGCCCTACAGCACCTTATAGAATTAACACCAAAAAATGATGTCCTTATCATCATGGGGGATTGGAATGCTAAGGTAGGAAGCCAAAAGATAACCGGAATAACAGGCAAGTTTGGCCTTGGAGTACAAAATGAAGCAGGGCACAGGCTAATAGAATTTTGTCAAGAGAATACGATGGTCATAACAAACACTCTTTTCCAACAACCCAAGAGACGGCTCTACACATGGACATCACCAGACGGTCAACATAGAAATCAGATTGACTATGTGCTCTGTAGCCAAAGATGGAGAAGCTCTATACAGTCAGTAAAAACAAGACCAGGAGCTGACTGTGGCTCAGATCATGAGCTTCTCGTTGCAAAATTTAGGCTTAAATTGAAAAAAGTAGGGAAAAGCACTAGGCCACTCAGGTATGAACTAAATCATATTCCTGGTGAATATACAGTAGAGGTGACAAATAGATTTAAGGAATTAGATCTGATAGACAGAGTGCCTGAAGAACTATGGATGGAAGTTCGCAACATTGTACAAGAGGTAGCAACTAAAACCATCCCAAAGAAAAAAAAATGCAAGAAAGGAAAATGGCTGTCTGAGGAAGCTTTGCAAATAGCTGAGGAAAGAAGGGAAGCGAAAGGTAAAGGAGAAAGAGAAAGATACACCCAATTGAATGCAGAATTCCAGAGAGTAGCTAGAAGAGATAAGAATGCCTTCTTAAATGAACAGTGCAAAGAAATAGAAGAAAACAACAGAATAGGAAGGACCAGAGATCTCTTCAAGAAAATTGGAGATATGAAGGGAACGTTTCATGCAAAGATGGGCATGATAAAGGACCAAAATGAGAGGGACCTAACAGAGGCAGAAGAGATTAAGAAGAGATGGCAAAACTACACAGAAGAACTATACAAGAATGAGCTTAACGTCCCAGATAACCACAATGAGATGGTCACTGACCTCGAACCAGACATCCTAAAATGTGAAGTGAAATGGGCCTTAGAAAATCTGAGCAACAACAAAGCTAGTGGAGGTGACAGTATTCCAGCTGAGCTATTCAAAATCTTAAAAGACGATGCAGTAAAAGTGCTACACTCAATTTGCCAGCAAATTTGGAAAACTCAACAGTGGCCACAGGATTGGAAAAGGTCAGTTTACATTCCAATTCCAAAGAAAGGCAATGCCAAAGAATGTTCAAACTATCATTGCACTCATTTCACATGCTAGTAAAGTTATGCTTAAAATCCTACAAGCTAGACTCCAGCAGTATGTGGATCGAGAACTACCAGAAGTACAGGCAGGATTTCGAAGAGGCAGAGGAACTAGAGATCAAATTGCCAACATACGCTGGATCATGGAGAAAGCTAGGGAGTTCCAGAAAAACATCTACTTCTGCTTCATTGACTATGCAAAAGCCTTTGATTGTGTGGATCACAACAAATTGTGGCAAGTTCTTAAAGAGATGGGAGTACCAGACCATCTCATTTGTCTCTTGAGAAACCTATATGCGGGTCAAGAAGCAACAGTGAGAACTGGAACACGGAACCACTGATTGGTTCAAAATTGGAAAAGGAGTCTGGCAAGGCTGTATACTGTCGCCCTGCCTATTTAACTTATATGCAGAGCACATCATGAGAAAGGCAGGGCTAGATGAATCAAAAGTTGGAATTAAGATTGCCGGGAGAAATATCAACAACCTAAGATATGCAGATGATACCACTCTAATGGCAGAAAGTGAAGAGGAACTAAAGAGCCTCTTGATGCGGGTGAAGAAGGAGAGTGCAAAAGTTGGCTTGAAACTCAACATTAAGAAAACCAAAATCATGGCATCCGGCCCTCTCAATTCCTGGCAAATAGATGGGGAAGAAATGGAGGTAGTGACAGATTTTATTTTTCTGGGCTCCAAGATCACCTCAGATGGGGACTGCAGCCAAGAAATTAAAAGACGCTTGCTCCTGGGGAGGAAAGCTATGGCAAATCTAGACAGCATTCTAAAAAGCAGAGACATCACCCTGCCAACAAAAGTGCGTATAGTCCAGGCCATGGTTTTCCCAGTTGCAATGTATGGCTGTGAAAGTTGGACCATAAGAAAGGCTGAGCGCCAAAGAATTGAGGCCTTTGAACTATGGTGCTGGAGAAGACTCCTGCGAGTCCCTTGGACTGCAAGGCGTTCAAACCGGTCAGTCCTAGAAGAGATCAACCCCGACTGCTCTTTAGAAGGCCAGATCCTGAAGTTGAAACTCAAATACTTTGGCCACCTAATGAGAAGGAAGGACTCACTGGAGAAGGGCCTAATGCTGGGAAAGATTGAGGGCAATAGAAGAAGGGGACGACAGAGAATGAGATGGCTGGATGGAGTCACTGAAGCAGTAGGTGTGAACTTAAATGGACTCCAGAAGATGGTGGAGGACAGGAAGACCTGGAGGAACGTTGTCCATGGGGTCGCGATGGGTCGGACACGACTTCGCAATTAACAACAACAAAAAATATTTTTGGATGCCATGGAGAAATTTGTATTTTTAAAAGTGGATTGTTGATTATAAAACAACATATAAATATAAAAGATATATTCTTGCAATACTGAGGACCAATTGTGTATCTATTCTATACAATATTTTGATAATTAAAAAAAGGATTCATTCCCTAATAATATATTACTAATGGGAGACACAAAGTTTCAGAGCAATCAAGAGTTGAATCTGGGATATGTGTGATAAAATTTCTCTTTGAATTGATATTGCTTTTAGGAATCTTTTCATAAAGCTTAAACATTCATAAATTCAATACATTCATTATATAATCTGACTGTATTAGAATTGATCATTTTTAATTTCTTGTTTTTGGGCACTGCCATGAATTGAAATCAGAAAGATGTTTTCCAGTTCCTATGCAACGCTTGTTCATAAGAACCTGCAATAAGTTTCATTTGCATCTTGAAGACAAACATATGGAGTAGGTCATTGTCACACAAATATTAAATATCCTATATTTTATACTCCTATTACATATAAATTATCCTATTTGTCTATTTATAGTTTGGATTGCTGAGTATTTTTTTTTTTATAAATTATAATCTTGCTACTTTAATCATTATGCTATATACTTGCCAGATCTTTTTTGAATAATATTGTAATATACATTTAAAACATTATTATTTCTGTTGTGTTTTTAAATCATAAGCTAATTTTAACACAATAGACAAAAGTAGACGTATATTTCCATTAGTTTACATAGTAAGCTTGACTCCTCAATTCAAAGACTCATGCAGGTAGTTTATCTGGCAATAATAAGAAAGCCTTGGCATTTTTTTCATGATGTATAGTCTACAATTCAGCCTATAGCCTTGAGATTTCCTAGTAGTCTCCCATCCAAGTTCCTACATGCAATTATGGGAGAAGAGACTGTCAAAAATGTACCTATGAAACTAATAATTTATTGGAATGAAATAATTGGCTATTTTAAATTCAGCACTAATAATTCTGAAAGATTACAGTATTACTATATAGAAATCAAACTTGAGCTGAATATTAACTGAAAAGAGGATTAATTATACTTCGGAAATTTTATGCCAATTGTTACAGAAAATTAATTAATACATTTTTACAATACAAAAAGAATAGAAATATTAGATTTCATCAGTTTTATTTAACTTCTTTCCTATTAAATGGTCTGCAATACATGACAGGAGCAGGACATTGCATGAAGAGAACTGATACTTCTGAGTGTAAAAACAAGTGTACGAATGCAGATAACAAAAATCAACATGGATAGTATGGAGAAAAAATGCTTAACAAGGTATTTTTATAAACCTGGCAAAACAGTAATAACAAATAATAGAAAGAAGCATACCTTGTCCTTGAGGAATTCCATAAAACTCAGCAGCTATTCTTGCTGCCTCTTTACGATTCCCCTTTACAATATAGAAATGACTGAGTATTGCAAGGCTGATTTTTACAAAAAGTTTAAAGCAGAAAAGCGAAAGTATTGTAAAGTAGACATTGGATAATTGTTGGGCAAAAGGCCGATTTTCCTCTACAACAGTCATTGCTGCACAAGAGTCTTTGTCAGTGTTTAGCAACAGCTCTGAAATATGTTGCTAAGATCATATGGCTCCAGCCAGACACTCCGAGGGAACAGCTGGTCCTGAGGAAAGAAAATATCAGCTGGTCATGATGTGTGCAGCTCAAAATATGAGGATTATTTATACTGTAAATAGCATGGAGTTCACTAGCACTCCCACTAGGTTGATGGTATTTAACTGAAGAATACATACAGCTTCAAGAAGTCAATTATAAAGTGCCAGTTTAAAAGGATCGATAAGTGCAAGTACATCAGGTTTTGTGCTGTTGAAGAAAAGATCTCAAATGGTATTATTTACATTATATTAGATAACATCAGAAGAAAGAGCAGCCAAAATATACCTTTCTCAGTCATAGTTCAGCTAGCATTCAATTTTCTTTCTCAAGCTATTTTAGCTCCTGTTGTTCTTTTTAAGTATCATGCATCCATGAAACTTATGCTTCATTGATCAGCTATAGCCAGTTGAATAGCATAAAGCATATTAAAATGCCCTTTATGTGCTATCACTGTATTGTTGCTTTTTATCTTTGGCCAAGACGAGAATGTTCTCAATTAGATTTACCCATACAGACTCTGATGCAGGATTGTCTATTCTTATATTGCTGTGCATAGTCATGGTTTTTCTCCATCATCTTAATTTTACTCACCAGAATTTTGGACATGATTCCTTAATATCCTCAAAAGATGATATGGCTATTGATGCTAAATGGATCTTTTTGGCTGAATTCTACTGCTTACTTTAGTATAACTTTTTAAATGTGTATGGAACTCTTCAAAATGAAATTTTCCTTGCAACTTAAGCTGCTGAACTTTAACAGAAGTTAAAGAACACAGTAAAATATTAGGGAAAAATTAAATAAAAGAAGACCAAAGTAATGACAAAAGGTGTGGTTACCAGCCTAAGAGCTAACAACAAAGCTATTGTGGTGGATATCTTCTGCCTTTGGGACTTACTATCAACATATTATGAATAGCCAAGCAAACAAATTAATGGATCACAGAATAAATCTCAAAAGAAACCAGCATGGCTGCATAAAGAACTCTCTGACAAATTGAAAGATAAAAAGGACAAGTGTAGAAAGTGGAAAGAGGGGCACATAGCTAAATCAGAAAATCAACAAATAGCCCGAGCCTGCAAAGATGAAGTGAGGAAAGCCAAGGCTCAAAATGAACTAAGGCTTGCAACCAAAGTCAAAAATGACAAAAAAAGCTTCTTTCAACATGTAAAAAACAAGAAAAAAGTGAAGGAAACGATTGGTCCATTAGTGGGTGAAAGTGGTAAGAAGGTGACTAGCAATAGGGAGAAAGCAGAACTATTTGACTCGTTTTTTGCATAAAAAACAGTATAGAAACACAAGTTAAGATAGGCAAGAAAATGATAGGTGAGCACCTGTCCAGCCTAGACGAATTCGAATCACCAGAACCAGATGGATTACACCCCAAGGTTCTCAAGGAACTGGCAAATGTGATCTCAGAACCACTGAACTATATTTTTCAAAGATCTTGGAGCACTGGGGAACTACCAGAGGACTGGAAAAGAGCTGATGTAGTTCCCATCTTCAAAAAAGGAAAAAAAATGGATCCAGGAAATTACAGACCTATCAGCCTGACCTCAATACCTGGGAAGATTCTGGAAAAGATAATCAAACAACGAATCAGCGAACACCTAGAGGCAAACAAAGTCATTACTAAAAGCCAACAGATCATGCCAGATAAATCTTATTGCATTATTTGACTAAGTGACAAAATTAGTGGATCAGAGGAATGCTGTGGATATAATTTACTTGGACTTCAGTAAGGCATTTGATAAAGTAGATCACAACCTACTACTCGATAAGATAGAAAAATGTGGGTTAGACAGCATCACCACCAGATGGATTCGTAGCTGGCTGACCGGCTGTACTCAGCGTGTGGTCCTCAATGCAACTACATCTACATGGAGGGAAGTGTGTAATGGGGTGCCACAGGGCTCTCTTCTAGGCCCAGTGCTCTTCACCATCTTCATCAATGATTTGGACGAGGGGAATAGATTGGGAACTTATCAAATTTGCAGATGACAGGAATAGCTGGCAGGAATAGCCAACACTCCAGAAGACAGGCTTAAGATACAGGAGGACCTGGACAGACTTGAACACTGGGCGCTATCTAACAAAATGAAATTCAATGGTGAAAAAAGTAAGGTTCTACATTTAGGCAAGAAAAAACAAATGTACAGGTATAGTATAGGGGGTACCTTGCTCAATAGTAGTAACTGTGAGAGGGATCTCGGAGTCATAGTGGACATCACTTAAATATGAGCCAGCACTGTGCTGCAGCTGCCAAAAAAGCCAACACAGTGCTGGGCTGCATTAACAGAGGGATAGAATCAAGATCATGTGAAGTATTAATACCACTTTACAATGTCTTGGTAAGGCCACACTTGGAATACTGCATCCAGTTTTGGTCACCACGATGTAAAAAAGATGCTGAGACTCTAGAAAGAGTACAGAGAAGAGCAACAAAGATGATTAGGGGACTGGAGGCTAAAACATATGAGGAATGGTTGCTGGAATTGGGTATGTCTAGTTTAATGAAGAGAAGGACAAGGGGGGGACATGATAGCAATGTTCCAATATCTCAGGGGCTCCCACAAAGAAGGAGTAAAGGTATTCTCCAAGGTGCCTGAAGGCAGGACAAGAAGAACGGATGGAAACTGATCAAGGAGAGAAGCAACCTAGAACTAAGGAGAAATTTCCTGACAGTTAGAACAATTAACTAATGGAACCACCTGCCTCCAGAAGCGGTGAATGCTCCAACACTGGAAGTTTTTAAGAAGAGACTGGACAGCCATTTGTCTGAAATGGTGTAGGGTTCCTGCCTGAGCAGGGGGTTGGACTCAATGACCTCCAAAGTCCCTTCCAACTTATTATTATTATTATTATTATTATTATTATTATTATTATTATTATTATATTATTATTATTATTATTATTAAAATTCTCACTCAGTACAAATCAGGAGGTCCAGTTATTATATTCTGAACAAATTGTGCAAAAACCTAGCTCTTTTTAAAAGGTAGGGAAAGGTAGAAAGAGAAAGAGCAAAATAGATCCACTTAATTATAGCCGTGATGGGAACACTGACGGACACGGTTCGAAACAGATGTCTTGAAGAATATGACTCTATATGGTTGCCAAGAGTGAACATTAATTTAATGACATGTAATTAAAATCAATTCATTTGCTGACAGAAAGTCTGATTGTCAAACAGCATGAGACAGAAAACAATATGCTTTAATCAATGAAAATCACTAGAGGAATTAATTTAGACTATAATTACAAAATTTTCATGGGTTAAAATGTATATTTTGAAATGTACATTCAGAAGATTAGTATTTTTTATAATTGATTATACTTAGGTATTATTTTAATTATATATTTTAATATTGTGCATTAGTTTTACTTTAAGGAGACTTTAAAGTGAGAAAAGCACTTGTGGAAGGATTGTTTCTATTCCAACTTCAATATAAATTTTCTCTAGTAATGTTCCATGAACTGTAAGCAAAGGAATTCACCACTAGTACATTTGGAAAGCAGAGAAAAGAGAATATACTGCATTTGCATAATATACAGCTTTCTTCAGGCATAAAATTTGTCTTAATAAGGGAAATCCACTTCAGTAGTTAAAGGGTAAATCATAGTTCCAATGCCTTTATGATTTCATTCCCCTTTATCCCAAGCTGTTCTTTATTTGACATGTTTGCATAATTCTGTCTTGGAGCAATAGTTGCCAAGCATTCCAGCAATATCAGATCAAAAGGACAGGTGATAGCATATTACCTTTTATTGTGTCTTTTCTGGGAGGACAGAACATGTAGTCTCTCAGCCTCCATGGTCTGTGACCAATAGGTGACAAGAACATGTACAGAAGTATAACAATTTAAAAGTTATATACTATGGATTCATAGGATGTACATATACAGTAACATCAAATATTAACTGCCAGGAATACTTAACACTTGTTATTTTCTATAAAGCTTCACTCTTTGCAGAAAGCATGGGATTTCCAAGTGAAGATTTAACTACACAGAATTGTGTTTCAACATATGTAAAGTGGCTTAATCAAAACTGCCAGCCAAACTTCTGGAAGGTAAAATATTTAAAAATAAACCTTAGGGACTGTTATTTATCATTAAAAAATCTGCATATTTTATACCTTATTATCATCACTGGGAGACAAGATGACTGACTGCAATCTATACAGATAATCTTCAACTTACAACAGTTTGTTTAGTGACCATGTTTTCAACAATTTTTCACATTTATGACTATTCAGCATTCCCATAGTCATGTGATCAAATTCAGACACTTGGCAACTGACTCTTATTTATGACTGTTGCAGTGTCCCAGGGACATGTGATCACCTTTTGCAACTTTCTGACAAGCAAAGTTAATGGGGAAGCCAGATTCACTTAAGAACCATGTTACTAACTTAATTGTAGTGATTCACTTAACAACTGTAACACAAAAAATCATTAATGGGGCAAAACTCACTTAACAAATGTCTTGCTTGCAACATAAATGTTGGGCTTAATTGTAATCACACACTGAGAACTACCTATATGTGGTGAAGAAAGGAGGCTTTTAATGAGATGAAGGTCACAGAAAAAATAAATTTAGGCTCTTAGCTACCCTTTTTTTTTTTAAAAAAAAAGCATGACACCAATTTTATTTTGGACTTTTCTGCAAATTTCAGGGCGGAAAAGCAGCTGAAACATGGAAAATAAGTTAAGGACAACAAAAGTAAAATTGTCTCAAGCTATGACTGTAGTGGAAAGCAGGACAATTAATATTCACCAGAATGAAGAGGAAATTGCTCCAAGAAAAAAAAACTAACTGAAATATCACAGAGAATTAACCATTTCTTCTGAAACTCTATGGATATGTTTTCTCTAAAAATATTCTAATGTTCATCCCTCTCAACAAACTTCAGAAAAATCTTCTTGAAAGATTGGACCTAATTATTCTTTCCAGATACAGAAAAGCCACTATTCTCTGTGTTCTTGGACACTCCGCTGATGGCCAAGGACGAACACTTTTTTTCTTGCAGTACATCACAAACATAATTTGTTGCAGAATCACACACACACAGATATGTTTTGACTATAGTCCTAAGAATGTACAAGTCAGCTGTCATCAATATCTTATGTCTATTGTTCCACTCAGTTTCCATCTGTTACTGGCTGAGTAGCAAGGAAATTGTTTGCTGGTGTATCATGCCACATGGAATTTTGTGAGAGCTCTTTCTCTCCCCCCCCCATTAGGTTCCTCTCTATATTTGAAAAATGTTGGAATATTTTCCTTTCTAGTGGTCCTTAGTTCTGCTTCCTGCTCTGTACTCTGGCCTACAGGCTATTATCAATGTGCATCTGTAATTATGTTTGTTGTGTGCTCTGACTTTGTCTTCTTAGAAAAGACAATTCCTTTGAGATGTTATTGAAGGTTTTCCTGTAGCTTGGATATGTAATCATAGCCAGATCAAAACCCATAGCTAAACATTACTGTTTTAATATATAAATAAGAAGGCAAAGTACTGTGTCTCTGCTAGCAAAACTTTAGGTATGTTAAGACAATCTATCTGAGTTGTAATCTCCAGAGCAACAGGAGATGGCAACTAATAGTTTTCTGCATTTCTTTGCTACCATCAGGTGTTATTTGGAATTATTCCGCTAAAATATGTTTACTCTATATTAATTCACCACTGCAGCATTTTCCAGATTTTCTGGATAACTCCTGAAAGATTGAAAAAAAATAGAGTTAAGTATAAAATCTACTTTATCTTTGCTTTATATTTGTGAGTCACCCCTTCCCCCATTTTTCTTCTCATAGATTAACACTTACTTTGGCAAGCAGAAAGATAGGACCACCGGTTCCTGGAGAACAATTTGCGTCCATATTCGATTTCCAGTTATTTTTGATACGAGCATTACAGTATTAATGCCTTGCAGTGCTGTATGGAAAATATGTTTTTAAAAGAAATATAGAGTTTCATTATTTAGTAAGCTTGCAACCAAACTCTCCAAACCTAAGCTGAAGTCAGATTTCATTTTTAAAACGCCTTTTATTGTGCTGAGAAATATAGGTAGCAGCGTCCCCTGTCGAAAACTTGCCATTTCAATGTCTACTTTATTAACTGGCTTGCTGCAGCAGAGAACATGGCGGGGGGGGGGGGAGTTCAACCAGAACTTTACAATAAGCCCCGCCTGCTGTTTTAAGTTGAGGCATGCAATGCTTAGTATTGTCCTCCCCGTATTTCCAATAAGCTACACCCAGCGTCTTTCGAGTAGCATCCCGCAAATAAATAAGAGCAAGGCAGTTAAGAGCCTCTTGTGTCGCAAGGGGATGAACTTTCCATTGCGATGCTGCACCCGGCAGCACCTGTTTCCGAAGGAGAGAGGCAATTCACAGGCTATCCAGGCGGTGTAGAGAAACTAGCGTAATTCCATCTGCTCCAATTAGCGCCTTCCAAATGAATTTGGCTAAAAATAGTCTCCAATTAGATTTCCGTTTAGGATTACTTAATGCGTTGGAGTATTTAGTTTTCTTAGCAATCATTCCAAAATTATTTGACATTGCTTTCCCCCCACCGCCGGTACAGGCTTGGGGAATGCTGTTAAGAACTCAACCTTCGTACATTCGGACAGCAGCGTAGCAAGCAATCTCAAAAATAAACTTTGGGCTGTATCAAGGGCAAATACAACGGATTTCCCGATCTGGCAAAGCTTGTTCCCTCAATTCGGCGTCAATACTGCTCAAAAGCAGTATTTCGCCTCAGGCAGACTTCCTGTCACTCTAACTTTCTCATCTCTATGGAGGAAGTAGAGCGAACGATGGTTGCTGAGGCTCATGGGACTTGTAGGCAGTGGAATCGAGAGGGGATATTCCGCCCATGGGCGGGCTGAGGCGGACGGGTGCTCTTTGGGCCCTCCTCTCGCGGGGTGGATGGGCGGGTTCGTTACCAGGCAAGGTGCTGCGTTGGGCCTCCCTTTCTCTTCAATCGTGGACAGCGGCCGTCCCGGCAGCAGCCTTCTCCTTTCGGATTCAGGTCCTCGTGTTTCTCCCTAACTCGAGCTTGCCTGCCTACCGACCCACCCACCCGTCTCCGTTCCTCCAGAGCTGAGGCCTGGCCGGCCCAAAGAGCAAGAAAAAGCGGGCAATTGCTCGCTCGTACGCGTGTGTGTTGTGAGGGCTGGAGGGACAGCGGGGAGATGAACACCGTCCTAACTCGAGCCAACTCGCTCTTCGCCTTCTCGCTGAGCGTGATGGCGGCGCTGACCTTCGGCTGCTTCATCACCACTGCTTTCAAAGAGCGCTCCGTGCCAGTCAGCATCGCCGTCTCCCGTGTCATGCTGTGAGTGTGTGAATGAGGGAGGGCAACGTCACAGTCGGCCCTTCTCTGTCTCCGGAGATGGGAACCAGCAGCCCATGTTCCGGCGTGAAGAGGGGGACATGGAGGGAAAACAGGATGGGATGCGCATTTCTGCTTTTCAGCGGCCCCTGGCTGAGAAGGGTGAATGCGCCGAAGACTTTGGCAGCATCTCAAAAACTAATGAATTCTTTAGGGCGTTTGTTAGTCTTTATGGAGCCATGATGCTTGGCTGCTCCAGCTGTCAGAGTGACCTGACTTTTCCGGGTGCCGAGTTGTATTGTGGAGTAACCCGCCCCCTTTTGTTTAACCCGTTTTCTAAATCTCTCTTCTTGTCCTGGTGCTTGCTTTTAATATAAAGCCTTTATATAGTCTCACAGGAGTTGCTGTTGATGGAGAATAATTTTGAGATTAGCGTCTTCTCCTGTTTGATTATTGACTGTTAAATGTTATTCCACTCCTTTAATACGTAGCTGCTTAGTTCACATTTAAAGGAATTCTTAATATTGCTCTTGCAAACTACTCTAGTTCTCTATTTGCTGTCACTAAGGTCTTAATCTAATTTTCTTCTAGATTGTCAGTTTCATAAGTGTGGCCTTTTCTTCCTGTTCTGTCATTTCCTTTTTCTTTAAGCCAATGAATGAACAACACGAACCTTCCAGTGCTGTAATCTGCCTTCTGGCAAACTCCCTTGAGAGTGGATGCACAGAAAGGCAGTTCAGTTTAAAAACATCAGTTGCTGTTTATATTTGACAGCTTATTTGCTAAGCATAGCCCAGTTTCTAAGAAGTTGGAAAAGTGTAAGATGTTGAATGTTACTTTGTAACAAAATATCTTGTTTCACTAGCAAAATAAAACCTATTTAGATACACTTTTCTGAAAATTTCAGTAGACACCCTTATGAACTGGATTTCAGATCTCATATACATAACATTGTTAAAGTGTGTTGTGTTAACTGCATTACATCAATTAAGTGATGGAAATGCAGAGAAAATACATTTATGATATTTTCTTATAGCGAGCCATTCGGATGAAAAAGATAAAAATATGTCCAGATTCTCATGGTATAGTAATTGTATTAGTAAGAAGTATAAATAAGTGCTAAGAAAACTAAATTATATACATGGATATCACATATACTGAATTCACATTTACTTGGCATGTTTTGAATAGTTTTTTTTTTTACAGAGCTCCTTAATTTAATGTTGATTCCCAATTAACTAGCAATTTACATTGTGTTCATTATACTGGATATTTATGATCAATTACTTGTTGATTATAAGAAATATTTTATCTAAGATATTTTACAAATTATTTTTGTAATCTACAAAGAAATATTACATTATTTAGGGCTATTTAACATAGAATAAATTACATCTAAAAGAGACAATGTTAGAAAGGAATACATGAATAATATTGAATAATACTTTTATTTTATTTTGTAGAAAAAATGTAGAAGATTTCACTGGACCAGGTGAAAGAAGTGACCTCGGAATCATTACTTTTGACATTAGTGCAGATATCCTTTATGACAAATGTTACTATTAAACGGGTAGAATGTCTTATTGGCTTCAACAGAACAGAATCAACTCTACTTCCTTCATTTGTAGCAAGCAGTGGGAGAAACACTGCCTCCAAAATGGACAGATGTGAATATTAATGTGTGAATATGATTTCACACAATGTTTTTAATTTCAAACATGACGGTCCATTCAGATGCTTATGGAAAAGGAGTTTCAAATTGGTTGTACTTTAAGTCTTATGTTGAGTGTTCTACCATAGATAAAAACTTGGGTTTTGCTTCCTCATAAATAAAGTTGGAAGCAATAGTTAGGCATAATTCTTTGAAATCATAACCATAGAACTGAATACGCAAAGATGCAGTAGTAGAAGATTTATTTCAATGCAAGTTTAGTGGACAATATACCACCAATATTCATTTCTTTCACTATTGCTTTGGGGGCTTTTTCCTAATGATCATGCTTACACTGTATATACTTTCTCAGTGAACAAAGTAACACAGATTTGCATACGGCAGCTTGAAAGCTCATCAACTTAATAGCATTGTTGTTAATCATGTCTGGAAAAAAACAGCAGGAAAAATAATTGCATTCATTGTAAATAGCAAGTAGCAAAGAAGTAAAAAAATAACAATGAATTCAAAAAGCAGATAAATTGAAAAATAATAATCTTAATAATCTTAATAACCAAGTAGATAACAGTCTTTTTTAAGTACATAATGATTCTCATGCTTCCCTCCTTTTCCCTTCAACTAGGTCTAACCAATGGCAGGAACAGATCTACTTGCTGTTTTATTGTTAGAGTGCTCAAAGCACTGTGTAATAAAATGGTCTTTTTCAGTTCCCAAATCAAAGTAAAATTGTGGACAGTATCTTCTAAATTCATAACATTCAAAGTTCTCATTCTTAATTTTGTATACTTCTAGTGAGTATTTTGTATACTTCTAGTGAGCACTTTCTCTGTTCTACCAGCTTGTAACCAGCAGGGCTTTAGGGCTTGTTGGAATGCTTCGAGTTCAAATAATGTATACAGGCTTGCCAATCTCTGTATATGGTTTTTTTTCTTTAAATAGCAGCTTGGCTTGTTGAGATTTGTACTGAATGGGAATGTTTTGAAAAGAGTCATATTCTGAAACAGCATATGTTCCTTATCTTTTTCACATCTGCAAAGTATATTTGATTGGAACGTGAAACAGTTATTTCTATATTTATCAGCAGAATATTCAACAAAGAACAATGTAAGTGTGCATTTAACAGTGAATAAATGGGAAATCATACTAGATTTCATGCTATTAGAATTACTGGTCTTCATAACAATAATACATGGACAGTTATTTTACTTCTTACATTCTCCTTAATCATCAAAATAAACCTTAGAACATATTCTGGCAATAACTAAAAAGCAGTGGTTGATTATATTTTGAGGTTGTTCTTTGACAGGCTATTACCTATGATGCATTGTAATTTGCATCATTTTCATTTGCACCATTTGACTACTTATTTAAGAGAATTTATATGGCTGCCCACTCATTGTCAGCAACTCTGGGTGACTTACAAAAGTAAACTATAAAATGTATATAAAAGTTTATCCATATTCTGAAAGTTTTTAACTTACCTGACAGCTCTAGCTTGAATACTGTTTGAAGAGATGTCTTAATAGAAAGAAAGCAATTTGGATTTCATGTATTGGCATTACAATACCATCTAACTTCTGTTTCAAAAATTTAAATCATGGTTATCTTAATCAGAAAGGACAACAACATTTTGTATGATAGAGATTAGCCTTTTAATCCTTCAAGTCAGGGGTCCCCAACCCTCAGGCCGCAGCCAAGTGCCGGGCCACAGTCCATTCAGAACTGGGCCAAACCTGCATTTGTGAAAGTAGTGCACACATGAAACCATCCCCTCTTGCCCTCCCCCACTGCGACAACCAACAGTCCACTGAGCCGGAAAGGTTGGAGACCCTTGCTTCAAGTGGTCTTATAAAAACAGACTTCTATATAGTTTTAAAACTTTAATTTGCATAGTTTTAAATTTTTAACTGCTTTTCTATTTTTTTACAATCTGCAGTCCACCCTGATTTATTGGGAAAATGGATGGCATATCAATTTAATTAATTAATATGTAATATTTCTGTTTACAATATTATGGTTTGAATCATGATTTTAGTTTTAGGATCATTGCAACTATTTCTAACTTTTCTTCATTTATTATAATTTTCCAATGCCATTGTTTCTTTTCTTTATAAGAAATACCTTTCTTTAGAAAAAAACTGTCTTAAATGATGCTTCCATACTTTTGTACATTTTGCCAGATAACAGCTGTATTTGCACAGTGAATGTGTAAACATTTAATTTTATTTGCTGAATAATGTAAACAACCTTCAGAAAGCTACACCTACTGTAATAGTTTTTCATAGTGCTCACATTTATACTAATATCAAAACAAATAGGGTTAATATATAATTCTAGGACTTATTAATTTAAATAGCAGTTACCATTGAAAGTTGGTAAAACTTAGTTTTAGAAAAGAGAAGAGTAAATAATCTGTTCTTTGATACCCTTTTAATTGTTTGCTAAAGCTAACTGCTTAAGAGCTGCAGCAAACCTATGACAGAAAATTGCAGTTTATTTTAATCTTTCTATATGTGAATTAGTAGTTGTTGCATCAGTGTTTTTTAAAAACAAACTCCATTTCTTAAACATGTCTTATCTATATTTTAGTATTATATTCTGTGCTCACTTCCTACTATACCTTTAATATGTTTATTTTTATATATTTGTGTGTGTCTGTATATATGTACACCCACATATACAAATTATTAATGATTTATATAAGTAATAAATCAATAATATACTTTATTATATTGTTACAATAAATAATATGACAATAATATACATTATTTAT